TTTGCAGCCCCTGACCTCCAATCAAGGCTGGGCTCTGTGGCACCCTAGCCCCAGACCCTGCCCCCACCTCTTGAGCTTTAGGGAGAAACATCCAAAGCCTCCTAAATCGAGAATCCCATCTCCCCCTGCCGCTGCACAGTCAGCGATGCGACAAATGGCAAAGTCTTTCTGAGTCTTTCTCCCGGGTTTGCAAAGCGCTCTGCGGTCCAGAGGCGTCGGTTGTTCCTCGGTGCAAAATTACTGACGTTCACTGGAAAGGTGGCTGTCTATAAATGTAAGTTTAGTAAGTGGAAGCTGCCACGTCACAGGCGATTACTCCTTCATCTGCAGACATACTGATGATGCTTTTTGGTTTGTCATCATCCTGGCCTTAACTGGAGTCTGGACTAAAAAAACCCACATCCTGAAGACAAGAGAGAGGGAGTTCTGATATTTAGCATAAGCACCTAACTTGGGAAGATGTTGCAAAGCAGCAGGCGAACTTTTCCTTTGCTGGAGCAGAGAAGGAAGCTTGGGTAAGAGTTGTGACAGGAGCTTCTGGGAGCTGGTCCACTGCGCAGGGGCGACCACTCAATGCGCTCGCCCCTGACCAAGGGTCAGAAGGTCATTGGGCCCACAACTGGAGGAGCGCTCAGCCCCGACATTCTTAACAAATACCTGTACACCCCATTCTTCCCGCCTCCACATGCCACACGGCCACCCCGCCACCAGTCAAAAACGCACACCACCCAGGAAGTGGAAAGAGACTCACCGCCCGAAGGCCTACAAGGCAAGGCTGGGTGCGCTCAATTACACAGTAGAAAAGGTCCGCGTCCCGCTGGGCGACTGGAGTAAAGTAGACGCCAGACCAATCCTTTAGATTCTTTAGGCTTTCTGCTTTGTCTGGTGCCCATTCCTCTTCCCTTAAGATCAGAAGCCTATAAAAATGAATCATTTCCTCCACTTATGCAGAGATAGGAGCTCTTAGATCAAGATTAGTATTTTGAAAACCTGATTGAGAGCCGCCTGATTAGGCGAGGGTGGGTGGAAAGACCGCGTAAACTCTTGTGCCCCCGCGTGCCCTACTTCCCAAAACAGCTTCAGCGCTCTCAGGATCTTCAAATGACCCGCGCAATTAATTCTCCAGGATTGTAGCCAAATAGTACCCCAGATTCCCTTTGCAAGCATTCACAAAAAGAAACTACAACTAAATCTCCAACTGGACCTTTATTTTTATTCCATTTTCAATGCTATATTATACACTGCAAAGTTCTGCACAACTCTCTTTCGCTTCAGAAGAGCCATCTTGAGGCAGATGCTATTTCATGGTAAATGCATTATGTGGATTTTGCCTCCAAATACTGATTTTGTTTTTTTTAACTTAGTGAAAAATACAAAGCTCTCTGTTCCTTCCGTACAGGTTAGCTTTTCAAGAAGTCGGCCCACTCCAAGCCTTCAATTCTCTACTAGTAAAGGTCACAAATTAATCGTATTGTCTCTGTCCCAAGCTCTGCAAATTTTGAAGAGTGATCCCCAGAGAGGACACTGGTGGGGGGATTGCTAATATTAACATGTGGGCATCTGAGTGAAAAGAAAAACCGCAAAGAAGACAGAAAACGTTCTAAGGTCTTGTGTTTATGGGAAGGAAATGAATTTAAGGAAAAACTAAATTTGCAGTGCTTGATCAGCCCCAGGCTCACTTCATCACCGAAAGTCTGTCTACCTATTACCTTCCCGTTGTCCCTCCGCTAGCGCTGCTACTGACCTGTCTCCGCAAGCACTTCGAGCAACCTCTTCTAGACAAACAAGGCAAGGATACATACGTGTACGTATCTACTCTATATATGTGTAAATATGCATATATGTCGATAAAATCTGACTGAAGCAGCATTGCATGATTTTGTTAAAGGTCTTTAAAAGTTACGAGATTTCCAGATATTCATATTACTTTTGTTTCTTAAAAAAGCGAAAATTAGAAACTAAAAATCTTTTAGAAAATAGTCTCATAAGAAATTCCCCTTCACACACTATATAGTGAAATGAAATCTGTACCAAAAAGAAGCTCTTTAAACAAATACATGCTCCAACCCTAATAAAAATGACAGAATACCTACCCCAATCCCTCACCCCAGCCAAAATTTTAGGCACAGAAGGCTGCTTCTAGGACATCTTTAAATTTTGTCTAAAGTAAAATGAAACATACTTTTTCTTGTAGCCTTTGATTTCGAATCTAGTTGCAAATAATTAACTTTTGTGCGGCTCAGATGTTCCTTTTTTATCTGAATGAGAAAACTTTTTGCAAAGGGAATGCGAATCTCTAGATAAACCATTATTCAGACTGTCAAGGAGCGGTCGCGTGCCTAGGCGAGACCCGAGAGTTGCTAATATCAGGAGAATGACTGAAACAGTCAAGTCTCCCAGCCCTCCGCTTTCTCTTCTGCTTGCTGCAGAAAGACTTGTAATCTGAATCTTTGTTTAGTTTTGCTGGAGTGTGAGAGAAAGCTAAGGCAAATGCAAAAAGCAGGGTTTTTTTAAGTCGAAAGTTAACAGGGCATGCCCATTTTTTCCCCCCTTCATACTAAACCTGGAGTAATTTGGTTTGTCCTGATAAGATCTTAACATGTAGAGAAGGCGGGTTTCCTTAAGGAGGTAGACTCTCCCCCACACCCCCCTTCCCACTCTTTATGTAAGGTTCCACCCTCTAGAAAACAAAACTTTTTTTCTCTCCTTTCCTGGAAGGACAGACCTCAGTGAAGTTGGGAAAGAGCAGTCCAGCAGAGAGTAGTAGGGCCATAGCGGCCTCTTTGGACCGAGACTTCGTGGTGGCATTCGTATCCTTCTCGGTGGCAGCTTTTATGAGTGCACTGGGGCGGGGGGGAGGGTGAGATCGGCAGACACGGACAGCCTCTGACCCTCTGGAGTTTGGTATGCGATAAGCAGCCCTAGCTGTGCCATGTATTGGAAGAGCGATCAGATGTTTGTGTGTAAATTAGAAGAAAAGGACGTGCCGGAGCTGGTAGTTTCCCCCGAGAAGGTGAGCGAGCCGACGCCTGGCCAGACGAGCTGAATCGCAGTTCCCTTGCAATAAGAACTGTTTGAACTCCAAAATGAGATTCAGAAATTACCTGTAGTGGCCTCATCTTCAGCCCTGGCCTTTTTTTTTTTTAACGTAGTGGCGTTCGTTAATAATCAATGTTTCCCCACCCCACAAGTTCACTTAACCTGAGACATGGAGACTGTAATTTGGGAGACGATGCCTTGTCCCTTAAGGCGCTCTCTGTCCATAGTGTGTAAAGCTTTTGTTTAGTTTGACGTGGTGGTCGTGGCAGACCAGGAGAGCTAGCTGGATGGTTGCCGGGTGGGACCTAATAGAGACGAAGCTCTCCTGAGCTCCGCAGCTGGCGGACGCGAGCCAGCCAAAGGCGCGTCTCTCGTAGCCAAACGCTCAGCACTGCCGCAGGATATCGATCCGAGGAAGACGAGGCTTTAAGAAGGCCTCGGAATTTCCAGGTCTGGACAGGAGATCTATTTACATTAAAAAAGAAAAAAAGATGCGAACACCAGGGCACACAAATGGTCAAACAGTTCCTCAGAGTAGATAAGGGAAATTCTCACTTTACTGTGGAGGCAAGACCCTTGGTTTCTCCCGCTGTAAGTTGGGAAATCACCTACTGTAGCCTGTTTGAGGGACTTCAGTGGAATCTGCGCAAGGACTGCAGACTATCTCTTTGCTCCGACCACAGCCGAGAACTTCCGGCGAGCACAGGCTTTTCTGGTTAAATTCTTTGTGTCTGCACGAACTCGGCCTTCAAGCAATTGCGCTAGATCCCCGCTGATGGTCTGGGCGATCCCTGGGTTTGGACGGGATCTTGTCTGGTGCTACCGGACGAGTCAAGGGGGGCGGGGGGTGAAGAGTCCGAGATGCAGAGGTGTGGGGCGCTCGAGTTTGGGGCTTCCCCGATCCCTCCCCTCAAGCTAGAGTTTTTGTAAAAGAATGCAGGAAAAGCCCAGAGAGGTTGCGTTTTTCGCTCAAGAGCTAAACTCCAGCAAAAGCTCGCAAATACTTGACTTACGCGCGTGGTTGCTTTAAAACAGTTTGACCGAGCTTGGGTGAGTTGGTTGTTTTTTTTGTTTTTTTTTTTAATGTCACAAATTAAATTCAGCTGGATATTTTCCATTATTCGACCCGCTTTTTACGCTGGTTAAAAATAATCCTTTAGTAGCTCAAATGTTGACTTACTGAGCAATAAGTGGCAATTTACACCTTTAAAAAAACGAGTATAAATCACTCTCGGCTCTAATTGCTGCAAGTTTACGAAAGAGCTGCTGGCTCGGTTTAATCTGAAGCATTTTCATTCAAATTGTCATTGGAACAAACACCAGGCTCCTTAAATCCCGCTGTAATTAGCTTTCAAGTATCCTATTAAACCTCTTCACCTTTAAAAGTCCCCTTTTTAAAAATATACGTATATGTCTTGCTCTTTTAATTGAGGTTATTAGAGAAATCAAGTTTCTTCACCCACCCCCTCCTCAATCCTCTTTTCTTCTCTTCTACTCCTCCTTCCCCACCCCCCGCACCCTCTTTAGCCCGGAGATCCCCGCTCCGCCGTGATTGACGTCTAGAAAGAAAACGCTTTGTGCTGGGATGATTGTTATTAACTTGTTACCCCCGGCGCTAGGGGGTGGGGCAGGGAACCGGTGTGGTTCGATAAGCATTGGGGGACCCGAGCCCCGGGAGCGCCGCAGCGTGCCGGGTGAGCCCACGGCGCTCAGTGGCCGCCTGGCAGCGCACTCGTGTTGCGCCGCGGCCGTCCGCCCGCGCGCCGTCCACCGAGGGAGGCTGCGCGTCCGCGGCGCCCTGGCTCCAGCGCCCTGACGGTTGCACGCGCGGCGCGGCGCAGCGCGCAGGGAGCCTTCATTAGCCCGCCCCCCGTGCAGTGAAGCCAAAGACTCGGGCAGCGAGTGCCTGCCCAGAACTTTTCGTATCTGTTCTCTCTCCTCGCCCTCCCACCCCGCAGTGCCCGGGGCTCATGTCGGAGGAGTGCGGGCGGACAGCAGCCCTGGCGGCCGGGAGGACTCGGAAAGGCGCCGGGGAAGGGGGACTGGTGAGTGGGGAAGGGCCGGGGAAAGGACTGCGGGGCTTTGGAGAGGAAGCGCTGGACGAAGGACCGACGGGCCCCTCTGGGAGCTGGTGGAGGGAGGGTCTGGGGCGGGGCAGGGTGGGGTGGGAAGGAAAGTTGAGTTGGACAGCGCCATGGGTAGGGGCAGGGCAGGGCCAGGAATCGCTCCAGGTCCTCTAGGTCAGGCGTCGGTGACGCCGACGGGTGCGTGACAAAGCTTGGACCGGTGAGAAGGGAAGACTTACGGAGGGAGGTGGCCTGTGGGAAGAGAGGAGAGGCGGTGCGGGTACACCGGTGAGAAGGTGGGGTGCCAAGGGGAAGGAGGGGTCTAGAACTGCCTGCGACCGCGCCTCGTGGCCTCCTGCAGGTGAGCCCCGAGGGAGCGGGGGACGAGGACTCGTGTTCTTCCTCGGCCCCGCTATCCCCGTCATCTTCACCCCGGTCCATGGCCTCGGGCTCCGGCTGCCCCCCTGGCAAGTGTGTGTGCAACAGCTGCGGCCTGGAAATCGTGGACAAGTACCTTCTCAAGGTAGGGCTGGGCCGCGGGCGGGAGACGGCGCACTGTGGGAGCTCTGGGGAAGACGGGAAGTTCCCCCTCTTTCCACACTAGTTCTCCGCTCTAACAAATCGTTACACTTTGGGACAACTAATGAGGTGGCGAAGAGTGTAAAAAGGAATCCTGAGAATCTCCCCTGTCTTTGCAAAGCATCTTGTATGTGGCCTAGAAAGTACCCTTTACCAGAGTGGATGTACTGGACTCTGCCACTGACTTGTGGGGGGAAACATTTACCTGGGCTCTGAGTTATTACTTTATTAAAATCTTTGTATACCCAAAGTCACTGTTTTCTAGACACCCCCACAGCGCCTCAGCTCCAGCTCACTTAAAAAAGTTCCAGGTCGGAATGTTGGGTCAGCTGATTTCCCTTTGGTTATCTCCTTTAGTGAGAACTTGTAAAGTGCCTTAAATGATCATTTATGGACACATTTATTATTTTATTATTAATAAAATAGTCTTATGCCTCTGATATGCCTGATCCCATAAGCAAACCTTTATGGGATTGCATTTAACTGAAAAAAAAAAAAAAAAAAAAAACTAAAAAAAAAAAAAATGCAATTATAGAAATCCTCAAGGACAGAATAGAACTGCCACAATGAGTTTACAAGGCTGTAAATCTTTATGGACCAGGACTGCCAGTCTTTCTTCTGAAGAGCTATGGGTGGGCTCAAACACTGACCTTTTCATAAGCCTTGCTTGTTTGACTATTGTACCACCAGGGCTCCCAATGTCTTCTCAATGTTTGTTTGTTTTGTTTTGTTTTATAATGGAAGTCAAATGTCAAAATTTTGTTGTTGTCGTTATGAAGTGCCACCAAGTTGCTTATGACCCATAGTGACCCTGTATAGGGTTTTGGAGGAGCGGCTGGTGAGATTGAACTGCCAACGTTGCAGTTCAAAGCAACCTTGCAGTAATAAAAGCGTTTGGAATGAAATTGAAAGTTGAATGTCTGTCTTAAATTGTCTTACTTTTCCCTTAAAATATTGTGGGGGAGTTTTGGAATAGAAATTGCAAATCACAGTTATCAATATCATTGCAGTCAGAATCATGTTCCCATTCGTCTTAATCCTAATATATTTTTTTCAACTTCAGTAGCTTTTTAAAACCACTATTTAAAATAATGATGTCTCCTACACTAAAATTAGTAGTGAACCAATTCACTTTCTGTTCCACCCCCTATTCAGTTTTTCAAAAGGATTAATTATGTAGAGTGTGAGTTTCAAATAGGAAGTTTGTGAGTTTCTGTAAGTTTCTACCTACAGGTATAAAGCAGAAGTTTTGTTGGTTAATTCTTAAAGTTGGCAACTTAACATGGCTTTCTCTTTAAATCTGTATGCACTTTAGATTGAAGATTTCATTTTCAGTGCTTGTAGACATGCGCCTTGTCTACAAGATTTTGTCTATAGCTTCTTGGTTTCAGTTAGCTCACAATAATTAGCATAATCTTTAAGAATGACTCTGAATAGATAGGCAAAATATTTTTTTATAGCAGAGATGAACAAAAAAAGGTTATGACCAAGTGACTCTTACCACACCCTCTGCAATTGATAAAATAGTTAATATTCATCTTTTATACATTAATTATAGTCTGCATGTTTGTATCTGTAAAATAAGTGAGAAACATAAAGCCTTCCTTTGTAATAAGACTGAAGTATTTTATTGAACTCTTCTACATTAAACTATCTTTTTACCATTTCTTGTACATATTAGCATATTAGCTTTTACTGATGACCTGACATTATATGATTGTATATTGTTAAGTGCTAGCCGCCGAGTTAGTTCAGACTCATAGCATCCTGTATAAGGTCTCCAAGGAGCTGCTGGTGAGTTTGAACCACTAACCTTGCAATTAGAAGTTTGGTGCTTATCCTATAGTGCCACACCACTAAAGTCATGATTTATTTTCTTTTCTTTTGGTATTTTGATTAATCTTTCAGGTAAGTTTAAATTTGCTTGAGTCACTGGTAAAAAATAATTGTTTGACTTAGAATAGATACTGTTATTTGAGGGTCTGATCATATAGATACCATGTCTCAATAAAGATAAAATGGTGTTAGGATTGAAAAGTATGGGATGAGTTAGATGTCACTACTGCCCCATCAAGTATTCTAGTGCCCTGTTGTGTGCTGTTTGTTTATCCTGGCTTGGTCCTAGTTACATACTTAGGCTTACACAGATTGAATCAGTATCAGTTACCAGGGGAGATTTATATGCTTCAGAATCTTGACTTTTCACCTTTCTTTCCCAGTCCCTGGCAAAGAAACTGAAGACAAAGGAACTTTTTTTTTTTTTTTGTAAAGTGTATATAGCGGAAAGATAGCAAACCAGACATTAGGTCTGACTTTAGCAGAGTTAGAGATAGGCCATGCATCTAAAGGCCCTGAAGCCTGAATCTGCTCTTGCAGAAAAGAAAAAATCAAAATATAGGTAAGATCAAATACAGAAGGCAGAGTGGTATCCAAAAGAAGTCTATAATTCTAAATGTTATCACAACTGGGTTGTTTAGGAAAAAAATAGAGCAAAAATAGATGCATTATTTTCAGGAAAGCATTGTATTGTGTTAATATTTTTCTACTGTAGTTTTTCTTTTTAAAACTATTTCTTTGCTATTTTCTATAGTGATCTTGTAACTCTTTGATAGCAAGACCAAAACTTTAAAAATTTTTATTAATAAATTATCCTTTCATAAATGATTATATAATTACAATTAGTAGAACATTTTTCTTTCAGCTTCGTAAGTACCCTTTTTATATTTTATATCACAGAAAAACTGAGCAATAATTCTAATCAGATTCATTGAACAGCTAGCTACTCTTTATGAAATCTTGTAACAGAAGCTATATTTTGCAATTATTATTTTCCTATTTTAGACATTTATTTGGTCCATGTGTAGACTGTAACAAGTGATTTTGCATCGTTGCTGTTATCTCACATGCAATGTAATTGAACGCAAATCTAGCTCTCTGTCCATTGAACAAACTTACATACTTGTGTTATAGGCTAGTTCAAGCTAAGACACTTCTTCATTCTGGAAGGGTAAAGTTGTACTTATAGTACAGAGGCATCAATTTAAAGTGAAGGTAATTGTTATTTGTTACCTGAATTATTCCTATTTAGAAAGTATAAATTACTGTGTTTTTGTCAAATACCATTTTCTACTTGATATAAACAGAAAGCAATATTGGATGACTTTTAGAATAATTTATAATGAGTATTCATTTTTCTTCAGTATCCAAATCAGTTTAAATAACACTTCTTTGTAGATTCTACTCTTTCTGTATAGCTATTTAATATTAGAAGTAACTGGGTCTTCAGCCGGTGTCCATATTTAATTTCACCTTAGCAGTTTTTGTTTGTTGGAGAAATGGTTGCATGGCACACAGATAAGAATTCCTCTTACAAAGCTTCCCCCAATCCCTTCTCTCTCTTTATCTTTCTCTGACCAAGAAAAAGTTTGGGAAAGGTGTGTGACTCACCTTTCTTAACCAACAAGTTTCCTGGCACAAATAATTTAGTGAAAGAAAGAAAAAAACCCCACAAACTTGTATTTAGGATATGCATTTTTCCTAGGCTCATAGAGGTTCAATTTAAGAAGATAATATTCTAAATGCCTCAAAGGGATAAAAATGAAAAATGCTAGTGTAATTTTGTGGTTGAGATATAAAAAGGAGACTATATCCAGATGCATATTTATGTAAATGCGCCTTTAGGATGAAAATGTTTAGAACATGTGATAAAACACTAAGAGATCAAGGACAGAACTAGCATGATGTTCATAAGTGTGATATTAGAATGGTTTCTCACCTCACCCTGTTTCCCTTTACAGGTGAATGATCTGTGCTGGCATGTCCGGTGTCTCTCCTGCAGTGTCTGCAGAACCTCCTTAGGAAGGCACACCAGCTGTTATATTAAAGACAAAGACATTTTCTGCAAACTCGATTATTTCAGGTACACTGTGAAACTACTTATTCGTAAAATAGACCCTTCCAGTAATTATCCTAAAGACACGCATAGAGAATTTTATGTTTCAAATTTTTCGTTTTTATTTATTGAAACCCTATATTGTTAAAGTGCCATCGAGTTGGTTCTGACCCACAGTGAACCCTATACAGGGTTTTATTGGGTTTTTGAGGAGTGGCTGGTGGGTTTGAATCACAAGGTTAGCTCGCTGACCTGTGGTCCAGTGCATTATCCTGCAGCTCCACACGAGGACTATATAGTGGATTTGAAAATGAGAATGCTTCTATATTTCTTTGAGGTATGCTTTTTATTATAGCAAATAAAATAAAGCATGTTTTCCTTTAGCAATTTAGTATACTAATACTAATTTAAAATAGTGCTTCCACTTTGGAGGAGATGAACATATTCTAGGGAACCTTTTTTTTTTTTTTGCTGGGCCTAGATAAAAAATGAACTACAATATGGCTTATTGCGATAAAGTGCTTTATTTGGGAGGAAATGGTAATACAAAATAAAACCATTGAGGGGTAAAACAAAAATCAAAATTTTGTTCAATTTTTATCAATTTACTATATTCAGTGATATTTAGTTATAAATCTATGAAATGCCAGCAGTTTGGAAACTGTGATAAACTATATTAATTAAAAGAACCAGTATAATACATACACCAAGTGTAATTATTCTGCCTAAAAACATTTTGTTTCTTTTGTCTGTTCCTTGATCTTTGTTTTGTGGAGTTATATTTTAATATGATTTTGAATGTAGCATGTTCTCTGTGGCATCTCTGTATAATTGTTTAAACATGAAATTTCCTGTAGAATATAATTTAGTTCTTCATGGACAGCTGTCCAGAAATTAATATCAATCTTAAGCATGACTGTAAAAAATTACTGTATTTTTTCTTTATTTACACTTCCAAACAAACACCATTCATTGTGAAATAGGTAAATTAATATGACATAAATAAGTTTGTGAAACTAATTATATTGTTTATACTCCATTTCAAAAAGTGATCCCAGGGAGTTTAGTTATTTAATTGAATAAAATTGCTAAGTAATTTAAAGAGTCATCAAACCCAGAGTCCAATGTTTTTTAAAGTCCCAGAATTTTATAGTTACCAAAAACTTATTTCTCATCAATTTACTTTCCCTTTCTTCAAAAATAATAGCAATTTGCCTCCTCTTTCATTTAAGATATGCTAATTATTATTTTTATGGTCATTTAAAGCCCTTTGAAAGGTCTAGTTTTAAAAACCTATTAAAAGTTTAGTTCTTTAAAATTTTTGATAATTGCTTCGTTTTTCATTCTGAAATTTATTGTGATTGTTGTTGTTTTGTGCCAGTGAGGCATTTAGACTCATAGCAACCCTGTATAGGGTTTTCAAGTAGTATCAGGTAGATTTCAATCACAGATCTTGTGACTAGCAGTCCATTGCTTATCCTACACCACCACAAAATTCTCAGAGTTAAAATATATGAACTCAAGATGTATTAATGAATAGACACAAACACATGTACTAATCATAGTTGAACAGGGATGTCAGGGCAGGTCTGTAATTGTAGTAAGAGAATTGACTCTAGTCACTAAGATTGAGGAAAAACATCACATCTAGCTTTACATTTTGATAAGAGTAACTTCCAAAATGGTCTCTGGTAGTGTAGTGGTTATGAATCTGGCTGCTAATCTCACAGTCAGCAGTTTGAAACTCCCAGCTGTTTTGCAGGAGAAAGATGGGGCTTTCTGCTTCTGTAAAGATTTACAGCCTTGGAAACCCTGTACAGGACCACTGAGTCAGAACCAACTCCACAGCACATAACAACAACAAAATATATCTAAAAATTTTAGATATTTCTCTCTTGCTGTGGATAGCAATGTAATCGTTTTTACAATCAAAGGAACATTTCAGAGTTTTTCTTCCTCATTAAGGTGAAGAATTTATGTTCTACTCATCATTTGAAAGTGTAAGTTTAAAGTGTTATATGTTATATATGTGTGTGTGTGTGTATGTATATATATATATATATATATATATATATAGTTCAGTGTCATTGAAGGAGCTCCGGTAGCATGTAGTGGTTACGAATCGGGCTATGAACTGAAAGGTCAGCAGTTCAAAACTACCAGCAGTTCCGCGGGAGAAAGATGAGGTGTTCTGTTCCCATAAAGATTTACAGCCTCAGAAACCCTGTGCAGGGTCGCTATGAGTTGGAACCGATTCCACGGCACTTAACAACAGCAACAAGTGCCATTGAGTTGTTTCTGACTCATAGACATCCTGTATAGAGTTTCTGAAATTTTAAATCTTTGTTGGAGCAGAAAGTTTCCACTTTTCCCCTCAGAATGGCTGGTGGGCTGGAAACACGGACCTTGTAGTTCGAAGTCCTATGTTTATTGCATGTAACCACCACACTCTCATATATATGTGTGTGGGTATATGTATGTTGTGAAGTGCCATCGAGTCAGTTTCAACTCATAGCTATCCTGTATAGGGTTTCTGAGGAGCAGCTGGTGAGCTTGAACTGCCCACCTTGTGGTTCAAACTGACCTTGCAGTCCAGTGCATTAATAGCACAGCACCACACCACCAGGACTGTGTGTATATATATATATATTTGTTTTTTTGTTTTTTTGTTTTTTTTAAGACACAAACACACACACACACATCACATGCATACATATATACTGTGGAATTTTATACAGTATGTATGTACAATTTTCTAATCTCGAATTGGTTTCAGAAAATTAATATTTGTAAAATTAATCTTCATTTGGTATTTTTTTGTATGTATAGTTTTCATCTTAGAGTGTGTGTTTGTTTTGTATCTTGAATCTCTGTGAATATTTATAAATGCACTGTTTGTTGAAACGAGGGAAATTGAAATTCGTATTCCTTTTATTTTAAGAGAAAAAAATATCCAGTATTCCTTGAGAGTAAAATTGAAGTTTTGTTTTTAGGAATAATTTTGAATTGTGACTCAATTTCTTAATTGCTTAACATACTGACTTTTAGAAGGATTGAATCCTGTTTCATTTTCAACAGTTTACAATATTTAGGGTAATTCAATGAGTAACAGAATGTGTTACTTTAATCTTAGACTGATGAGTATCACACCACGCTTTAAACTCTTTGCCTCCTGTCCTTCTGTTTACTGTAGAAGGTATGGAACTCGCTGCTCTCGATGTGGGAGGCACATCCATTCTACTGACTGGGTCCGGAGGGCCAAGGGAAATGTGTATCACCTGGCATGCTTTGCTTGCTTTTCCTGCAAAAGGCAGCTTTCCACGGGAGAAGAGTTTGCTTTGGTGGAAGAGAAAGTTCTCTGCAGAGTTCATTATGACTGCATGCTGGATAATTTAAAAAGAGAAGTTGAAAATGGTAAATGTATACTAAAAATACCTTCAAGTATTTTGTGACTCCAAGGATAAAATCTATTTTTCCTAAGCTTACCTTAATGTGTTGTTTTTGTACTGTGTAATTGTGGTAAAACTCATTAGATACTCCAGTGTTAGTGATGGTCCCCATCTGTTTTTAACACTTGGAAGAAAAGTGGGCCGTGCATAACAGCCTTGTGCCATATTCTCAGACTGCAGCCTTGAATTAGGGTTCTGCTTTTCTTTATGTAATCACTTGTTTCCTTGCATCTGCCTTCCTGAGGATGAATTTAGATGTGTATACTTCTAACTTTTTGCCCTTTTGACTAACCATGCTGTTGTTAAGTGCCCTTGAGTCGTTTCCAACCCATAGCCACCCTGTGTAGGGTTTCCAATAAGCTACTGGCGGGTTTGAACTGCCGACCTTGTGGTTCAAACTGACCTTGCAGTCTAGCGCATTGTCCTGAAGTGCCTCACCAGGACTCCTAAATGGAATATTGTTTCCACAGTATATTTGTAATTTGTTTTAAAACTTAGCTCAAGGGGTTTAGCAACCAAGATATATACTGTTTCACACTGAATGAAAAGATACAAGGATTCTATTACTACATGCTTGCTGTGGACTCTTTTTAATTTACTAACATGTATCTTGTGTTTTTTAAATGCAGGTAATGGGATTAGTGTGGAAGGTGCCCTCCTTACAGAGCAAGATGTTAATCATCCAAAACCAGCAAAAAGAGCTCGGACAAGCTTTACAGCAGATCAGCTTCAGGTAGACATGACAATGAATTTATGATTTTGGAAGCCCCTCCTGATTTAAAAAAAAAAAAAGCTCCAACAATCTTCATACTAACTAAAACTATTTTTATGTTTTCTGAAAGGTTAGACTATACTTTTTTGTGTGAAAATTAATTTGGGGAATGTATTACAACCTTTTTGTTGCCCTAAAATGTTTATCCGTATTTTTAACAGTCATGATATAAACTTCAAGCATTGTTTCTTTGAATTGTTTCTTTGAAACATTAAAGTGGAAACAAAATGTTGATCTGTTCTGACTTTCCAATAAAATCAATTTAACCCAAGTAGCTATATTACTACATATAATTGTAATAATAGAAGACAGTATTTTGAAATTCTTAGCAGAAAAAGACATACTTTATGTGGGCCTATGGGACACTAATGTGTTGGTGTTTTAAACGAACTGCAATCAGCCTTCTAATGGTCAAGACTGTATGTTTTCTGAATAGGAAATAATTGAGTATACTTCACCATAACCAGGAACTCACTAGCTGTCTCCAATCAAGTAGACACTTTTCTTGTTTTTAAAGGGGTAGAGGGAATAATTTTATAATTTGATATTAAAGGTTGATTATGTCCCCTGAAAAGGGAGAGATTATTTTCAGTATAGCTACCCTAAATATAACTATGATTGTCATAAATTTGATTTATACAGTTTGTCAAGAAAATAGTTAAATAATTACTCCTTGCTTTATTTTTACGTCTACACATATAATGGTTCTTTCTGGCATTTTTTCAGATAACGAAATCACGTTTTCTAAAAGATTAATGTGGCTGAGGTATTTGTTTTATGTTAAGGTAAAGTAACATTTATTGAGCACCTACCATGTACCAAGCACTACTGGGTGCTTTATACACAGTATCCATTTTAGCTTAGATTATTTATGCAATGTTGACAAACGAATTAAAGTATTTAAAAAAAAAAAAAACACACACACACATACACACACACACACACACATAATGTTTAGAGACCTGTCAGTATTTAAGATGAATAAAATAAAGGAATTTCAAAAGAGAATTTTTACTTTGAGAATGCTTAGAAACAAAACATTGACATTACATAAAATTTCCAAGGAACTTGTGGCATTGAAAAGCAATCTAGCAATAAATATGAAACCATTAGAGAAAATTTCCAAGTAGATGACTATTTTAGATTTTTTAATATAGACATAAAATACAGAGTCAGTAATAAGTGAAAGATAGGTAATTTGAAGAAATAATTCTATTTGAACCTGCTTCATTGGGTTCTAATGAAGATCACATAAAGTTTTAAGTTAAGAGATACGAGTTCATGTGGAAGACCAGGCAAAATCTCTAGTAGCTAAAAAGTGTCTGGGTTAAAGTATAATCCCTAAATAAATAATAATTTTATAATGGGTTGTTTCCATGATGGCCTAGCTATAATTACAACATTGATAACTTTTAATGGAAAAATTATTATTATTAAAGTTATAATTGTGAGTTTTTGAAACTACTTTACATAGATATACAATCTTATGTAGGGAGATAATCAAAGATACTAGCTAGATAAAAAAGGATGATAATTTGTTGAGGTCTTCATATGCAAATTCCCATGTCAGGCGGCTTATTTTCATTATCTCCTATAACTTCTGCAGCAATTCCTTAAAGTGAGTAATCTCATCTAAGAGGTACAGGAACTCTCCCTCTCAAAATAGAATGCCATACTTCCGAAATCCTTGCATTTTATGGTCTTTTCATTTTGTATGGTCTCCCCAAGAGACCATGTATAGAACGGAACCTTAACAAAACTCCACTTACGGAAGCAGCAGCTAAAAAACAGCAAGATTCTGAATCTTGTAGATAGCCTTATAATTTTAAATTGTAAACATGCATACAATATTTTAGTCATGGCTTATTGTGTGGGAATGTGATATGAATCATAAGTTATTTAAAATGTTTGTCAAAATCATAGATTAAAAAAAAAAGAAAGCAGAAGCGATATGCTTTCAAAGCATACTTTCATTTGCTCAGTATTAAATTTGCTCAGCATCTATTTTATGTGAGGAATGACTGAAACAAATAAGACACAATCCTCAAGGAGTTCTTTATAATTTAGGAATCTGGGATTGCTGTGAGTTAATTTTTTTGTCAGACCCTCTAATAAATCAGGCAATGAACCCTCATTGTCAAATTGTCTTACCTGGAAACAGAATGTATTCAAGTAATACTTGAATTCAGCAAAACAATAAAATGCTCTAAGTGAGTGAGTGAAGACTATTCATAAAGTAGCTGTGTAGAAGAGGGAGATTTAAAATGGAAGTAATTAATAATTTCCCAAAATTCTTGGTTACAAACTTAGGAGAAAAGAATTATTCTCACAGGATGTGGTAGAAAAATATTTTGAATATTGTCCTCTATTTGCAGAAGTGGTATTTACAAAGTTCTGCAAATAGTGTGATTTCCTTCTTGTAGTTGGGAGGTACTTACTCAGTTATTATTATGTTAAGCACATCAAAGTTAATAGATGCTTTCACCTATTTTCAGAGTGAGTTAATTGTTTGGCTGTTGCCATAGGCTCCTGACAATTCAGGTAGACCTTCTGGCCTTTATAATGACAAAGGTTTACTCATTGCAGAATTTTACTCATTGACCACATTAGAAGAGCTGAATCAAGGATTGGTGTGAATTTCAGTAGTATTAGTAACTGGGAAAAGTGAAAATAAGTAGAAATTAAAAGGAGTTTTTCTTTGCAACCAAAACTTAAACACTTTTAAAAAGGAAGATCAGTGAGCACATCTTTTCTTTCATTATATCCCAATTCAAAATGATCAGTGTTTATTTAAGTTTTGCTTTATTCCTTGATGAAACATTATTCCTTGATGAAATGTGATTTGGTTCCATTATTAAACTTTTGAATTTCAAATGCATTTGTGAAAAGCATGTTTTTTTGGTTTTTGTAAATGATCAATAATGACCTTACATCAAATCCCTAAATATCTGATCACCTTTTTTCTTTGGGAAAAAAAAAAAATTGAGGGACATATTTGTTTAATGTTTTATGTTCTGGGATGTTACATGCCCAACTACATATAACACAACTCTATAAACTTATGAATTTATTAAAGTAACACATTTGGAGTAGTAGAAAAGGAAGAATAAAGTGAAATGAGCAAGCTTACAAACTTGCAAGCTGACTCTGTTTACTTGTAGAGCAAAAATCCATATATGCTGCTACAGTGAACATGTAAACATGATTCAGCTGGATAAAATGCCAGGAATACCTTAATCTAAGAGAGTCACTAGTTAGAGATAATTTAGCTTAAAAATACATAATTTGCAAACCTATTAAGATTTTCCAGGACAGTACTGGCTGTCTTCTACACACTGTCTTCAGATTTTCCTCACATTCTCCATGTTTATTCTGTTACAAACTCTTAAGTGCATACTATGTGACAGGAAGTGGGATGTTAGCTCATAGGGATACAAATACAAAGAATAAAATGTTCCCTTTAACCTCAAAGAACTCACATTCTGATGCGTAGAGAGAGACTTTCAATGTGCTATTATTTTATTATCCTATGGCAAATGCAGGTGTGAAATAGTATGAGGGGGCTTCAAAAAGTTTACAGAAAAATGGAATAGAATGATAATGGAATTTTTCTGTGAACTTTTTGAAGCTTTCTCATATGGGGAGCATAGTAGAGAATACTATTCATTTTGCATGATGGAAAGGGTTTAGAGGCCAGATGTGTTAAAGTCTTTAGGTAGGCTGGTTACCACTCCCTTCTTGACTGTAGAAAAGCACAATCATGTTGGATGCCAGAGCCTCCTCCCAATTCTTTGCATTTTATAATACTTCTCCCACTGATCAACTTTCAAGAGGTAAAATTCAAGTCTCTTGCTTGATTCCCATAGTGACTCTCTTTCTGAGAATGTCCAAAGCTTTTGACATATGCTTGTATTGTTTTACCCCCACCCCGGGACTTAGAGACACATACCTCCTCTTTCCTGTTTTGTGTTATAGGTAGTTACTGGAATGTTTGCATCTTTATCCTAGGAAATTGACACCAGAGGCAGTTTTGTTTTTGGTGTTGGTTCTTTTAGGGGTTTCCCTTAGCGTATTACTATCTCATAGCATTTAGCATAGTGTTTCAATCCAAAGGATCACATCAGAATCACCTACAAGCTTTTTCAATGTTCTTATTCAATGAGGGTGATGGCTGTCTCTTTTTAGGGACCCAGATACTTCTTTGCCTACATCAAATGCTCAAAATAATTAATGACAAGAGTCATTACAATAAAGTGGGATCCATCTGTTGAGATGTGTACTATTTGCAGACAAATAAAGATTGTATTGAGCACTGGTGTGTTGCTGTAGGAGAGTTCAAACTCACCAGCCACTCTTGGAAACCTGATTCAGGGCTGCTATGAGTGGGTGTCAACGTAATGTCACACAGCAACAACTAAGATTGTATTAAGGGCATGTATTGTTGTTGTTATGTGCCGTGGAGTCGTTCAAGGGCATTTGTTAGGGACCTTGAAACTCTTTAATTCCATAAAGTTTAGAGATTAATGTGGTATGTTCTTTGTATTTTATTAAGAATTCTAAATACAGGCAGTTTTTCACAAAAGTGACAACTTGTATGCATTTGGGAGTTGTAACAGTAGAAGAAAAGAAAAGGTGAATGTGTATTTAACAATGTAGTTGAGAAATGAGAGTTTATAGTGAAATGTATTTTTAAAGAACTAAACAGCACTGTGTGTAAATGTATGAAATATGCATTTTCATTTATACATACTTCCCCATAATGGTTTTTAAGTAATAAAATACAAGTATCTCACTTTCTCGTGCATGTCTTCTCTCATGCATCTTCAAAATGCAGAAGACTGAGCTTATTTTTAGCTATTTACTACCTACATTTTTTGAACAGGTTATGCAAGCACAATTTGCTCAGGACAACAACCCAGATGCACAGACCCTCCAGAAGCTAGCAGAAAGGACAGGCTTGAGCAGACGTGTGATACAGGTGATTATTTTAAAGGTTAACCAACAAGGGTACTAAAAGTGCCAATTCTAGGTCGTTATAAGTATGCATTGTTTTTCTTTCTGAAAAAATATCAAAAAATTTTCCATTTTAGGTTCCTTCACAGTCTAAATCATTTTAAAAACTTATAAGTACCTTGTTTGGGTTGGGCTGTTGCAACTCTGCTAACTGATTCTTAGCACATGTTACTTCATTCTAGTAAATTAATCAGCCCCAAGATCCTCAGGCTATAAAAAAAAAAAGTCAACTGTATTTCTAAACCAGATCTCATTCTGATCCACTGCTATTTCTGCTTGTCTATGATTGAGTCCTGGTGTGGTGGTGTGGGGTAAAGGACTGGACTTCAGGGTTGGTTTGAACCACAAGACCGGCAATTCAAAATCACCAGCCACTGCTCAGAAACCCTATGCTATGATTCAGAAACGACGGGATGACACTTAACAACAACAATATGATTGAGTCAGTGAGTGAGAATGTGTGTGTGTGTGTGTAGGGGTTGTTAGGCACTGTAGAATAAGCACTGAACCACAAGATCAGTTTGAACCGAAAGACCAGCAGTTCAACTTTATGAGCTGCTCCTTAGAAACCCTATACAGGGTTGCTGTGAGTTGGAAACGACTCATTGGCACTTAACAACAACAACAACAGCATTTGACGTGGACATAGTAACAGTCAGAACCAAAGACTGGACCTGGTGCACAAGCATCATATGCTGACTTTTGGGGTGAGTGGCATTGCTTTCATAAAGTGGTGGCTAGCTGGGTCAAGATGTTAGATTAGGAAAATGGAAAATGTTTTTTAAAGTGATACTCAAGGTTCAAAAAAGTTTAAGGAGTAAAAGCAAGTAATCATAATCAGCAAGATAAAATCCAGTTGTGGGGAGGGGGTGGTAAAGTGCCCTACATTGTATATTTCATATTTCAGTTGTTAAGTTTGGTGGTGGGCACCACTACAATTGCTGTAGAGTTGTTTCCAACTCAGACCCCATGTATGTCAGAGTAGAATCGTGCTCCGTGTGGCTCTCAATAGTTGATTCTTCGGATGTTGGCCTGCAGACCTTTCTTCCAAGGTACCTCTGAGAGAACTCAAACCTGCAACCTTTGGTTAGCAGTCAGGCCATTTGTACCACCCAGGGACAGGCATTTATTATTCAGTAAGCCTGCTGTAATTAACAAACCATCTATATGGAAGTAAATATGGTAAGGACCTGATTGTACTGCAGCTGCACTGTAGACCTAGAATATCAGAGGTTTTGTTTGACTCTCCAGTATGCTGAGGCTTTCTGAGGAGGTGAGTCCCACCAGTCAGCACCTCAGATATGCAAGGTGGTATTGTTTTTACTTCACAGTGCCAGATTTTAAAGAGAGATGACAGGTGACCACTCTGAAAAGGCTGAAAAGTCTTCAAAGAAAGTCTCCCAAGATTGTGAAAAATCTAGAAATGGTGTGCTCTATTAAAGCACTAGGGGTATCTGGAGAAAAGGTTAGCAAATGATAAAGGAAGGTCTAGTAAGGAGCTCTGGTAGCGTAGTGGTTACAAATCGGGCTGCGAACCTTAAGGCCAGCAGTTCGAAACTACCAGCTGCTCCACGGGAGAAAGATGAGGCGTTCTGCTCCCGTAAAGATTTACAGCCTCGGAAACCCTGTACAGGGTCGCTATGGGTCGGAACCGACTTGACGGCACTTAACAACAACAACAGTATATATAGAGTTGTTGTTAGTTGCTATTGAATCGAATCTGACCCAGGGTGAACCCCATGTGACAGAGTAGAACTGTTCCTTAGTGGTATTTTGGCTGTAATTTTTATAGAAGTGACAGGTCTTTCTTCTGCAGAGCTCCAGATGAGTTCACACTGCCAACCAAGAACTGCAGCCAAGAACTTTACTGTTTATTCTATCAGGGCTTTTACATATACAGACTAGGTATCTAAGATATGGAAAGGACTGTCTTGCCAAGAGCAGAATTAGGACACTGGAAAGAATGTAAGAAAAAGCACATTTCATTAAGGATAAATTTTGTCAGCACAAGAAGCTACAAAAATGGCATGGGTGCCATTGGAAGTATGCGTTTTCTGTGCCTGGAAGTGAACCTTCCTCTACCGGGAGCTGCAAATAGTCCTGTGTGAAGGTACTTTAGATGTAGCGGACTGAGTGCTGCTTCTAAGACCTCGTTCACTCAGTGGCAATAACTTCTGCAAGCAAGTCAGATTCATGACTTTTATGTTTTCAAAATTATTTTGAAGTTCCGAAATTCCTTTGAAAGTATGGTTGGAAGCAAACGAGAATAGAGGGCGTTCTGAGAGCTTTTTGTAATATTTAGAAGTACAATTTCTAGGTATTTAAAAATCCATTGCCATCAAGTTGATTCTGACTCTCAGAGACTATATAGGACAAATTTGAATTCCCCCCATAGAGTTTCCAAAGCTGTAAATCTTTAAAGAAATAGATTGCCACATCGTTCTCCTACAAAGCATCTAGTGGGTTTGAACTGCCAAATTTCAGTTAGTTGCCAAGCATTTAGCCACTACACCACCGTGGCTCCTCTCTAGGTATTTAATTCACCAGTATTTTGAGGATGTTAACTTGGTTCTGGTGGCAGTAGTGGCTCAATGATAGAATTCTTCCCCCTTGTGCAGAAGACCCAGGTTCAACTCCCAGGCAGTGCACCTCCTGCACAGCTATTATCTGTTTGCCAGTGGAGGCTTGTGCACTGCTGTAAGGCTGAACACATTTCAGCAAAGCTTCCAAACTAAGATGGACTAGGAAGAAAAGCATGGTGATTGATTAAAAAAAAGAATGGATAAACCAATGAAAAGACACAAAGATCTGATCCTCAACTGAGAATGTGGATGGCACAGGACTGAGCAACTTTTGTTATGTTCCATTATGAATGGGGTGCCATGAGTCAGGGGCCAACTGAATGTCAGCTAACAACAGCCTTTTACAGTATCTTTAAAGAATTAGTTACTGTGATCACAAAATAGTCATCATAACCTCTCTGCCTCAGATTCCTTCCTAGAGTTTGGAAGACTTCTAGTTAGAAAAGTTGAAAAGCTTTGGTTACTTGACCATGATTCTAATATGTAAACCAGGTTACCCAAAGATTAGGGATAGGCAATAGCCAGATACCCAGAGGCACTCTTACTTTTATTAGCTAATATGTCTAGTTAGTGAAACATAAATTCCCAGCAGATCATTGTCACACTGAAATCAAATAAAGAGGAGCCATTTCATTGTCCTTAACACTCTGTATCCAGGGACAATCACTGTTCACATACTCTTTGAGATATGTGAATTACGAGTTGAGCATCTTACAGAAATAGAATAAAGGTATTGTTGTTTCTTTTAGTCACTGTACTAGGAATACTCTTTCACATTAGATCTACATCATTTTTATAATTGTATACATTGAACATAGTACTATTTAGTTTCCAGTTTTTATTGTAAACAGTGCTGCGGTAAGCGACATTGTATGTGTGTATACATATACGGAGTGCTGGTGATGCTATTGCTAAGTGCTTGGTCATTAACCAAAAAGTCAGCAGTTTGAAACCAACAGTGACTCTGCAGGAGGAAAGACCTGGCTTCTATAAGGATTACAACTTGGGAAAAGCTATGGGACATTTCTGCTCTGTCCTATAGGACCTTAGGAGTTGAAATTGATTTGATGGCATATAACAATATAAGTACTCATGTCTGTATATGTGTTTATATGTATATATACATATATATAGTGGTTATGTTTCATGGAGTGGGTTCTGACTCATAGCAACCCTGTACAGGGTTTCTGAGGCTGTAAATCTTTCTGGGAGCAGAAAGCCTCATCTTTTCCCACAGAACAGCTGGTAGTTTCGAACTGCTGACCCCGAGGTTAGCAACCCAGTTCATAACTACTACACTAGCAGAGGTCCTTACATGAGTACATACACGTACTTATATATGTGTGTCTATGTTATACACTTGTTCAGTTGCTGACAACTCCCTGCAAGTGAGATAATTGAGTCAAAAGACAAAACTGTTTTATAACTCTTAACTGATAGTATAGAAATTGTCCACCAGAAATTTCATACAGATTTTTTTTTAACCTGTAACTGTATACAATAAAGTTCACCTTTTATCTCAGCCAACATAAATCTTAAATACTGTTATTCTTTTACACCATTCTCAGTTTTGTTTATCAATTTATATGTTTATCAACTTCTACAGTTCATGGAAAAATAGAATGGAATTTTCCCATGAACCTTTTGAAGCCCCTCTTTTATGTTGATAGACATTTAGACTGTTGCTACCTTTTGGCGATTGTGAATAGTGTTCTAATGATCATTTGTGTGTTAGTATCAGTTTTCAAGTTATAATTTAAAAAATTGTCTTTATCCCATTTTTCTTTTGGATTATTTCTTTGTCTCCATCTTAAACAATTTTCATTATGGATGTTTGGAATCCTATCATGCTAAACTTCCTTATATATCGATTTCCTTTTTTTTTTTCATAGAGAACTTTTATAGTTTTGTGTACTCCAAATACTCAGTCTTTTTTTTTTTTTTTTTTTTTTAATAGTTTTGGCCTTTGTTATGCTTCTTCATCTAGAAGGCATACCAATTTTTTTGTTAATATTTATGGCTTTAATTATTTACACAAAAACTTGATGTTTTGATTATACCACATGGCTGAGATTTGCTTTTGTTTTTTCCTCCACGTGATAGGCCAATTTTCCCTAAATTATGTATTAAGTCATGATTTTCCAACAATTTAAAATTCTGCCTTTAATACACTAAATCTTATATTTGATTCTTCTAGCTGGATTTTCTAAGGGATACATTTTATAAATTAGTTTTTCTTTGAGTAGAATATATACCTGGTCTTTTTTCAACATTTGTAATTTATGATTTAGAACTAAAAAAAAAAATTTAATGTATCATTCAAAGGAGGAAATTTTGACTCTTGTTGGAGATTTTCAAAATAGAAGGAGGAAATTTCAAATCATTGAGAAAAGTCATATGAACATTTAGCTTTAACAAAATCAGGTCAAAAATGATTTTGTTTTTTCTGATGTCTGGAATCCTCAGCTATTTTGGCTGTCAGGTTACATAATGCTGTGTTTGCAAACATCTCTCTGCTTGATTACTTATAGATTATCACTCCAAAGAGCTATTTGAATTAATATTAAGGTAATTATTCTGCTGTTTATGTTACACCTTCTTTGTATTTATTTCCAAAGTCTAGCATTCATTTTTTGTTTTAAGCTAAAGATGAGATTAAAAACAACAACTAAAATAACAGCAAAAGGTAGGTTCATCCAATATTTAGTTTACTGGAAACACAAAGATACTTTGAAGAAATTCTGGGTAGCATAGTACCACATGTATTAGGTGATATGTAGTTCTGTGGTCCGGTAGTTCACAAGTCTCTAGGCACCGTCAGGTGAAAAAGCAAGTGGCTACAATCCCCCCTTACAAACTGGAGGATGTGTGAGTATGTCTGCTTGACTGGGTAGGTCTGGTGGCAGCAGTGGCACAGACTGGTCAGAGTCTGTGGCCACAAGTGTGGGTGGAGTCTATGGATCGTGGTTGTTATGGAGATGTCTAAGAGCCTAACTCCCCATAGGATGGGAGAGAAGATGGTGACTGCCACTTCTTTTCCATAATATGCCAGAGTCATAGACTGAAACAATTCCTAGTTCCCATCTTCCAGCCACTTGCTCAGGACTGCGTACCCTGCTTAAATCATGAGTTATCATTATTTTTATTCCTTTAGTCCTGAGAGTATATATTTTGTCAACCTTCTATTTTTGAGCCAGAGGTGTATTATTGAAATAAGGTCAACATTTTCTTATGGGTTCTTTCCTGCCTTTTTCTGCTTCACTTTAATTAGCCTTTATTGACCTGTGCTATCAAGTTCACTACCTACCTACCAGTCCTGGACAAAGACTTATGTCCTTGACTTTTACTCATTCTCCCCTGATTCCAAAATGTTCTCAGCCTAACTCCTTAAAAGATTTTATCCCTCAAGTTCTCTTTCTTCTCATGACACTGCTATCAAATAAATGATATCATATTATTGTTAGGTGCTGCTGTCAATGCCATGTGTATAAAGTAGAACTGCTTTATAGGATTTTCAAGATTGTTATCTTTTGGAAGCAGCTCACCATCCCTGTCTCCTGAGTCACTTCAGATAGGTTCAAACTATCAATTTTTTGGCTAATTGTTGTTACTGATGTTTTTAAACACAGTTGAGTCAGTTCAGACTCATAGCAACCCTGTGCAGGGTTTCTGAGGAGCAACTGGTTGGTTTGCACCACCAACCTTGTGGTTATCAGCCTAGTGCTTATCCAACAGTGGCACGCCAAGACTTCTTTGGCTATGGTATTCAAGTGCTTAACTGTTTGCATCATTCAGGGACTCCACAGCTTTATCTAGTAGAAGGGAATTCAAACACAGGTAGATGAGTTATTAGAAACATCGTGGGCAGTCTCGCCTTCCCCTGACCTTGATATTAAACCTGTTTCTTTTATTTCTATGATAGAGTAGACAAGCAATTGGTTGGTTATTTACATTTTGTGAACTGTTTCACTGGTGGATGTCTTTGGATTTTATTCTAGTTTAGTATTACTGGGTTTTTTATTATTATTTTTGTCCTTATTATAGGCCTAGCCTTAACATGCATCTTAGGGAATAGCCTATGTATTCACTAAGAGAACTTGAGCTCAGCAGGTTAAAAATGTGACTGGAATAGCTGAATCAAGAGGTTTGTAGAAAGCTTTAAGTTCTCAGTAGGGAATTTAATCATTTGAACAAGCAATTGAAATAAGTCCCACAGGTGTCTAAGAATTCATTTAGTAGATTTAAAAAAAAAGTTCTGATTAAAAGGTGTGGGTTTCCCCACCCCTACCCCCCACCCCCATTTTTCGTTTTGTCCCAAATGTCAGTAGTAAAACCAAGGAGATTTTCCTAGAATTTTTAAGCTTTTTTTTTTTTTTTTTTGGAAGAAGCTGGTTTTAGTATGGTTTCAGCTTTTAAGTAAATTCACCAGAGAGTTGTTATTTGAGCAAAGACAATGACTATTGTCACTTACTTGTGCCTAAGATGTTTTACTTCTGTCTACAGAACTTTAAAAAAGGTTAGTTAGATTTATTCTGGGCTTATGCTGTGGAATAATTGAGGTCGCATGCTGTTATTAAACTGAGTTGGTAATGTGCTCAGAAGCTGGTATATGACATAGCTGCATTACTTTTCTCCCCCCTCAGGTATGGTTTCAAAATTGTAGAGCACGCCACAAGAAACACGTCAGTCCTAATCACTCCTCCTCTGCCCCAGTCACAGCAGTCCCTCCCTCCAGGCTGTCTCCACCCATGTTAGAAGAAATGGCTTATTCTGCCTACGTGCCCCAAGACGGGACAATGCTAACTGCGCTACATAGTTATATGGATGGTAGGTATCCCAACATTTAACAGCTGTCTCCCAAGCAACCAAAAACTGATAGCATCTCATACTAGATATTGATAGGACATACATTTCAAAATAGTTCCACAGTAGTAGCTGAAAAATATTGTGGGAGGTTGCAATAGGAAACTAAGCATTGCTATTTTTGTGAATACATTTTAAGGGAGAAGTTTAACACCCACTTTACAGCTAAAATATAACAGTGACTCTTAGTGCTTGACTTGTACTTTTATTTATTTATTTATTGTTTTCACCTGATAAATACGTAAATAATTTATTTTCTTATGATCAGAGACAGTAGTAACTTCACACTCAGATCTTTGAATTGGGGTTTGCTGAGTTTGTTAAACATTTTATTGAAGGAAAACATAAGAAAAGTATACACATAATAAGTATACAGCTTGATGATTTAATAAACTGAACATATCCATGTAAATACTACCTCGATGAAGAAGTAGAATATAATTAACATCAGGAAGCCTCTTTAATGCCCTTTATGTTGTGTGTCATCAAATAAGTGTCCACTAGTCCTAGACAAAACGTGCTCTACAAACTCACCAACACTTGGTTGGTATAGTCTGACTTTTTAATTTTAGCCAATTTGACCAGTGTGTACTTATATCTATTATTTTAAACATTGCCCTAGCTTCTAAACAATGTTTTAGTTAACTTGATTTAACTTTACATACATTAATCCATACAGAATATACACTAATATATTTCAGTTCTTTCAACTACATGGTGCTCAAGATTCTTCTACAACAATTCTTGAAAGAATTGTTGTAAAAAATTCCACTGTAGTAGTAATCATAATTTTTCCATCTTATGTTTGATAGGCATTTGTGCTATTTCTACTTTTGAGCTGATTGAATATGCTGCTTTGAATATTTATTAATATATGCCTTTTGGTGCACATTATTGCTCTTTGGCATGTACCTGGAAACAGAATGTAGATCATATGATACACATATGATCAACTTTAGTTGTTCAGGTGCCATTAAATTGATTCTGACTCATAATGACCTATGTACAACAAAGCAAACACTTGACTCTGCCCTCCTTACAATCATTGTTAAGTTTCATTCCATTATTAGCAGCCATTGTGTCAATCCTTCTCATTCAGGGTCTTCCTCTTTTTCACTGTCCAAACATGATGTTCTTTTCCAGGGAGTCATCCCTTGTGATAACATGTCTAATGTGAGACAAAATCTTGCCATCCTCACATCTAAGGAGCATTCTGTATATACTTACTTCTTCAGGACAAATATGTGTGTTATTCTAGAAATCCATGATATACTCAGTAGTCTTCACCAACATCATAGTTCAAAGGCATCCATTCTTCATTGTCCAGCCTTTGCATACATATGCAGCAATGGAAAATATTATGGCTTGGATCAGGCACATCTTAGTTCTCAAAATGACATCTTTGCTCTTGAACACTGTAAAGAAGTCTTTTTGCAGCAGATGTGCCCCAGTACAACCCATCAGTTGATTTTTGACTGCTGCTTTCATGGGCATTGATTATGGATCCAAATAAAATGAAATCCTTGACAACTTTAATCTTTTCTCTATTCATCATGATGTTGTTCATTGGTCCAATGGTGAGGATATATATATATATATATATATATATTTTTTTTTTAGGTTGAGATGTAACACATAATGAAGGCTATAGTCTTTGATCATCATCAGTATCTTAAGTGTTGTCAGTGCCATCCAGTAGGTTCTGACTCGTAGAGACCCTGTGTAGGTTTTCCAAAACGATAAATCTTTATTGGACCAGAAAGTCTCATTTTTTTCCCCCCATGGAGTGACTGCTGGGTTGAACTGCCAACTTTGTGTTTAGAAGTTCAGTACTTATCCTACAGAACCACAGAGTTCTCAGTAACTTTAGTAGATACTGCTAAACACTTTTCCATAGTAAATGAACCAGCAGAGTATGAGAGTTCAAAGTGTTTTCCTATATTTGCTAACATTTTGTATGGTTTGACTTCTTAATTTTAGACAATTTGATGGATGTGTAGTGTTATCTCATTATTTTACTTTGTTCTTCTCTAATGTCTGGTGAGGTACTGAATATTTTTGCATTAGGTACTCTTATATTCTCTCTTGTGAAGAGTCTATTCGTGCTTGTTGTTTGGTGAACTGTTAGCATAACTGTGGCCTTTTCCCTCCCTTGATTTGTTTTAGGGTTTGATATATTACTTGTATAAATAATCATTGTTTCTGAATATATGTGTTCTCCTTTAGAAATTTTGTTTTACCTTTGACATTTAGATTTAAAATCCTTCTGGAGTTGAATTTTGTGTGTGATGTGAGATAGGAAACAAGACTTTTTTGATGTGTTGATGGAAATACCAATTTCCAAGCTTTTCTGTAGTACTATATTTATCACATACCCATATAGGAAAGGGCTTTAAAAAGTTGATGAAAAAATTCTACTATCTTTTAATTCTATTTCCCACAAACGTTTTTGAAGTTCCCTTCTGTACTCTATTCTGTTCTATTGGTCTATTTATTTATCCTTGTACTAATACCTAATCATTTTAATTATATAGATCTATAATTCTTGATGTCTAATATTTTTGCCTACTTTCCACTTTTTCCAGATTGTATTGCCTATTTTTGAACTTCTGCATTTCCATAAATATTATCAGCTTGCCAATTTCTGCAAAAAAAAAGGAAGAAAACTATTGAGATTTTGATGCAATCTGTTATATTAAATACATAGATCAATTTGTAGGGAACTATCATCTTAATATAGCCTTCCATGCCACGTACATTGTATGCCATTCCACTTTTTTTAGGCCATCTTTAAATTCCCTTTTATATTTAGAATTTTCTGCATAGTGATCTTATACATGTTTTGTTAGGTTTATTGTAGTATTTGTTTTAATGCAGGTTGTAAATGGCAGTTTCTTTGGATGTAAGCATTTAGGTTGGCACTAAATATTTTCATTCAGCATTTTCAGTGTGATTTTATTGTCTCTGGCTTCCATAGTTTTTATTGTTTTACATATGGTAGCTAACTGATCTGACATAATTTAGGCTTGGTCTTAATCTTGCTCCTTTGAAAGTAAATGTCTTATTTCCTCTAGCTTTTTTATTTGTATTTAGTTTTAGACTTTTACTATCATGTACCTACTCATGCTTCTGGAGTATATAACTTGATATATTTTATCATGAAAAAGTATCAGCTTTTGTCTCTTCAACTGTTGTTTATGTCCTCTTGCTTTCTCAGACTCTAATTACATATATATTAGATTTTATTGCCATTTATCTCTAGTCTCTTAACCTCTTTTCCAAACTTATGATATTCTATGCTTTAGAGAGCTCTGGTAGCGTAGTAGTTATGAATCAGTCTGCGAACCTTAAGGTCAGCAGTTCCAAACTACCAGCTGTTCCGTGGAAGAAGGATTAGGCTTTCTGCTCCCGTAAAGATTTACAGCCTCGGAAACCCTGTACAGGGTCTCTATGAGACAGAACTGACTCCACGGCACACAACAACAACAAGGCTTTAGATACATTATTTTTATCTATATTCTAGTTCACTAATTCTCTCTACATACAAGGAGGCTGCAAAAAGTTCCATTATGTTTTAACTCCATTTTTCCACAAACTTTGAAGCCCCCTTGTCTAATCTGCTGTTTAACTCAGCCACTGAGTTCTTAAATCTAGTTACTACATTTTTCAATTTTAGGATTTCTATTTTATTAATTATACAGTTTTCCAGTCCTATATCTTATCATTTTGTTTCTAAACTAAATTATTGTTCTATTAATTACAGTTTTACCAAGTTTATACTTGGTATGATAAATCCAGTATTTATTTGATAACTTCAATATTTGGATTTCTAGTAGGCCTGATGTTCTCTTAGGTTTTCTTCTTCTTTTTTCTTTTTTGTTAAGTCCACGCACATACATAGATATATATACATGTATACATATTGCATTACCATTGTTGGGTTTGAAAAACTAGATATAATTGTTTGTGGCTTTGGACAGTACTTTCTACCAAAGAGGATTTCATTGTAGCCTGACAGGGATTAAGCTAGGGGAAGATCAGTTAATCCAGTCAGGCAATAGCCCTCATGAGAACTGATGTATTTCTCATTTACTACTCCTTGGATTTATCCTTTTGGGGTCTCAAATAAAAGCCCAGATGCTTTACTAGGCCTTCTCTTTTTCAGTGAAGTCAGATCTTTTATTCTTTCCTTTCCCCCATCCCCATGCCCAATTACCTCCCAGAGTCTAACTCTTGAAAAGCTCTTTTAAACTTCTCAGTTTCTCAGGAATTCCTTTTTCTTTTGAAACTGTAACTCACCTTGTGGGGCAAAGTAGTCTTGTTTTTTTTTTCTTTTCTTTTCCTTCACTTCTGGGACTTGACTTTGCAAGTTCTTAACTACTTTGGTGTTTTTTTATGACTCCAAGTAGATTTTTTATTTAAATTTTGCCCAGTTTTTTGCTTCCTTCCTTCCTTTCTTTCTTTCTTTTTCTCTCTCACACTCTCTCTCTTTCTATCTCTCTGTCTTTCTTTCCTTCTGAGAAGCAGAATTGGTCTAAAACAACATAGTCATTAATAAAATTGGAAACTTAAGTTTGGTTACATAAAAAAACGTATATCATTGCCACCATTTATTTACACTCACATTATATATGGGTAAGTTCATATGAGAGAGACTGGTGTTTTTTAATAGTATGTTGAGAGAAGAGGCAGTTAAGCATTATTAACAAATGGGAATTTATTAATACAGACACCTTGATGTTAAAGCTAGGAACATCTTTATAGGTAAAGTTTTTCACTGCAGGGTAAAGTGCAGTGAATGGGGTATGGATGGAGGACATTAAAGATGGTAAAACTTACCCCAAATAAAGATTTTGGGGTGAAACCATTGCTGCATTCTCATTTCATCTTATATTCACTATGATGAATGAGTGAATCCTCCTGCTGAGGTTTGTGGAATGAGGGCTGCTTTGGTGCCCTCAGTTATAATGAGTAATTAAAGTACATTGCCTTGGTTTCTTTTTGCTTGTTTTAAATTCCAGAGCTGATCTACAAATTTTTTTTCTATTTTGTAGCTCATTCACCAACAACTCTTGGACTCCAGCCTTTGTTACCCCATTCAATGACACAACTGCCAATAAGTCATACCTAATTCCTTTATTCAGGGATAGAAATGATAAAGGATATAAATTTGTCATCTGTTATATATAAAATATCATTGAAAGCTATTAATGTTAATTTTTTATTTAACATCCAAAGCATTTCCAACATCATATTGCTGCCCAGGTATGTATCTATAGTTGGCCTGCAAGACACTTTTATTGATTCTTTTTTTTTTTTTTCTTTTGGTAAAATTTATGTTTACAAGAAGAAAACAAAATCAAAACTTTTTTTGTATTGTCTGGAAATAGTTCACTCTAGTGTGTATCTGTTAATTTATTATCAGAAGAGCACTTTGCCTAAAAGAAAGGACTGACAAGTGTGCAAAATGTTTACAATCCTTTGTGAAATTGTAGTTTATCATTAGTTTGTATCTGTAAGTTATTGTTATAAAATATTACCTGTATTTTTTGTTATATACAACTTTATACTTTGAAGCTTGTATCTGTGAATTTGCAACTGAAATTTATTTTGCCAATGTTTTCTGAATGAACTGAATAAAGCTTCTGTTGTAGCATGCCATGCAAACACATTCTTGTGTTTGTGTCTGATATGTTATGGTTGTAAATTACACTATAGTTTAATAAGCCTACCATTTTAAGTTTATTAAACATTTTCCATTCTTGTGTGAAAGTTTCAACCAATTTGTCCTTTTTGGGATTTTAAGTAGTCTCTTTAAAAATATCAACTCTTAAGTTTTTAAAAAACAAAGGCATTTCATTTTGAACTGTGTTGTGAGTCCTGTGAGTACTACATCTTAATAACTTACTTGTAGATGATTTCACTTACTTTACAAAAGAACATGTGAAGACATCTGATTTTGCAAATCTTTTAAGACTAGCTAATAAAATTTGATGTGGAAAAAAAAAGGCAGAACACTTTCCAATATGATCCTTGGGGCACCCCAAACCAGAAAAGAAATATGGACCATAAGAATATATTTCTTCAGAAGTGAAAAAGGAGAACTTAGTAATATACTGATGGTCCTGGAGGAAGGACTCTTCAGTTTTCCTTCCCAGTGAATACTTTTTAGCCATCATGGTGACTCTGAGAGCTGAAACTTAAACCTCATGACTTGTGTGTGGTAGGTTGGGACTTGACTTTGTAGGAGTCCTGGTGTGCTGCAGGTTAATGTGTTGGACTGCAGAGTTGGTTTGAACTGCAAGGTCAGCAGCTCAAGCTCACCAGTTAGTTGCTCCTAGGAACCCTATTCAGGCTGGCTATGAGTCAGAACCCATTCAGCACTTAACAACAGTGTAGCAGTGGATTCTTGACTCTGAATTACAAAAGTGAGTAATAACACTCTCATTAATTTTTTAATTTAAGATATTTGATCAGTATTCAGTTTTTGTCTCTTCATATGCCAGTCATGAGGACAAAGGTAATGGAAAAAAAAAAGTGAATCTTAAGTTTGTGTTTACTTAGCAGATTCTTATATGGCTGAGGACTGGAAGTAATAGTGGAGTATTGTAATTCTGCCATAGTAATCATAAGTACATTCTGGAGTCCTGGTGTGGCGCTATGGGCTAATGCATCAGACTTCAAAGTCTTTTGAACTGCAAGGTCAGTGGTTCAAGCTCACCAGCTGCTCCTTGGAAACCCTATACAGGGTTGCTTTGGGTCGGAATTGACTTGATGGCACTTAACAACAACAACAATCATAAGTACAACCAGAAAGGAACTTATTGGCTGCCTTAAATCAGAAGCAACAAACCCAAGTTTCACTATGGGAGGAAAGAAGGGAAAGTTATGTATTGTTTTTGTTTTGTTTTAACCTGCTACTCTAGCTAGGATCCCTTTGGCCAAAAACAAAATCTTTAATCAACAGTCACTTTTTCTGATCTTGTGAAATTGATGTTAATCTCCTTGGGGTTTTGTCTGCTTGTCCCAGGCATGAAGTGGTGAGGTCAACTTTACCTTTACCAGATGTTGAGGAAAGTTCTTGTAGTCTAGCCAAGCTCTGCACTGTTAGCAGCTTATAGCATTTCCTAGCTGGATATAATTGGCATCCTTTAGCTCAGGAGGTGCCTGGTTATGAGTATTCATTCTCTTCTCTGTATTGTGTTTTTCCTGCATTAAACATCCTGTGATGATGATATCAAGTATTTTTATAAACCACATTACCACTGTTTTTAAGTTCCAAAAAAGAATGCCCAAAGTTCAAGTAGAACCTTCATAGTAGAGAGGTTCAGAGTAGTCAAATTTGGTGAGATTTATATACACTGCCTATAAAATTGTTGAAATCAATAGTGAAATAAGATAGATGTGAAAGTACAGGCATACTTTATTTTAGGATGCTTCATTTTATTGTGCTTTGCAGATGCTGTTTTTGTTTTGTTTATTAAACAAATTGATGGTTTATGACAACCCTGAGTTAAACATCTATTCGTGCCATTTTTCCAAAACATACGCTACTTTGTACCTCGGTCATTTGGTAATTCTCACAATATCTCATACTTTTTCATAATGCTCATAATATACTTAACAGTCTATACTATATAATGTCGGCTCAGTGTATTGGTAAACCAAAGCATTTGTGTGACTTGTTTTATTGTGATATTCACTTGATTGTGGTGGTCTGGAATTGAACCTGCAGTATCTCTAAGGTGTCCCTGTACTTAAAAATGTTGCATATAACACAAACATAAAGCTGCTGCACCCTCATTTCTATTGGTGGAAGTCAGAGGTCCTAATGTTATAACTTTAAAAAGGAGAAGTATGCCCATGCTAGTTACAGTCAGTGTAAGCATGTTGACACAACATTTAATTGCTTGAAACTTGGGGTGGAGGGTAGTAATCATTTTTTTTATGGATTGGAAGAAAAAAAGATTTTACTGTTTGAATAACAAACCTGAGCTGCAAACAATGGTCTCTTCAGCACTAAGAGAACTATGAGTTGAGAGAAGGTACAGAGAACTTTTATTGCAACACAAGTCAAAACTTATTTTGAAATTGCTTAAACTTTTCTGAGGCATAAGTCACAATAAGTCACTACTCTGTATGCTGATTCTCAATAGCAAGACAAGGTACTAATAATTTTGCATATTACCAATGTCATTCTTAACATTCCACATTACTTATTGTAAATTATAAATACATCTGCTTTGAATATCCCATAATAAACATTGTTAGATAGAATCACAGTTCATGCTTTTAAAAATTGTTGCAGGCATTTGAAAGCCGATAGCATTTTTGACTTGGTAAAATGTGTATGTAATTACTTTAGTAGCATTATAAAACTCAGTGGGATCATGGGCTTTTGTGATGACATGGAGAACTTTAACCTTTTAGTAAAAGAAGTACTTATATTTTCTTATTTATAACAAGTAATTTGGATTGCAATACACTGAGTACCAAAAATATATTAGCCCAGAAAATATTCTCAATTGTTCCTACCCCAAGGTTTAAAGGAATTGAAATTCATGATATGTGAGTTTTTGGGCATCTGAAATACAAGGATTAAATCCAGGTATACTGGAAAACTTCTAATAAACATCTCATTTGATTCAATCATACTATAAATATAATAAATGTGTCCAAAATAATATTCATTTATAATATTTTAATTTATAAATAGCATTACATTGCTTGGATGAAACCATTTGTTAGATAAGCTGTTTCTAATTTTTCATTGTAATGAACAAAATCTAACATTCTGAATACTGTTGGTATACCTTGCTATGTGTACTTTAATATTCACACAACCTCTTGAAATAGGTGTTATTATAGCCCCCCAGTTTTAAAATGTGGAAATTGAAAGTTTAATGATTTCTAGATACAGAGACAAGTAACAAAGTTAGGATTTGACTTCAACAGCTCAGTGACTCCAGATTCCACATTCTTAATGCTTTACTATTTGGAGGTTCAAATTCACCAACTGCTCCTTGGAAACCCTATACAGACTGGGTCACTATGAATTGGAAACGGACTCAATGGCACTTAACAACAGCAATTATGATGCTTTACTATTTGAATAGTACTGTGATGAGCACCTTCATATTTCTAGTTTTATTCCCACCCTTATTTTCCAAGAAGTGGATTGAGTTTGCATGCATAGTTTTAAGACTTTTGAAATTCATTACTTGGCATCAGAATGTTGTATATTCATTTGTATCTCCATCAAACGAAAAGTTATTTCCAGAGCCTGTTTCTAGCCTGCCTACCAGTGGAATCTTAATTATTTTCCAACTTGATAGTTAAAAAACTAATTAAAAATGTTATACTTAACATAAATTTGCTAGGAAGTTCAATGTACATTTTCAAGAACTAGTTTTCTGTAAAGGGGTTAAAACTAAAAATAAAGCAAATCCACTGTGAGTCAATTCTGACTCATAGTGACCCTTTGGCACAGAGTAGGACTAACCTAGAACTAACCAGTACGGTTTCTAAGTGCGTTTTTATAGAAGAAGACACCAGCATTAGAGTTAGCTCAGTGTTTAACCCACTGTATCATGAGGACTTCAAACGGGGTAAAGTTAAACACAAGTGATCACTTTGTGATATTTTTTCCTTTATGCCAAAATACCCTTATTTGGTTATTCTGTATACATGGCTAAGGTGAATAATGTTCAAAATTTGTGCAGTCGAGATATCAAAGATTTTACTTTAATACCTAGAAATCTTTGTTGTTAAGTGCCATCCATTCGGTTCCAACCCATAGCAACCCTGTGTAGGGTTTCTGAGGAGCAGTTGGTGAGCTTGAACTGCTGATGTTGTAGTTCAAATGACCTTGCAGTCCTGCGCATTAACCCACAGCGCCACACCAGGACTGCTAGCAATCTTTATACCATTACAAAATATTAGTTTTGCTGATAATTATATGAGGGGGCTTCAAAAAGTTCATGGAAAAAAGAAAATAAAAGATAATGGAAATTTTCCATGAGCGTTTTGAAAGCTTCTTTGAAGCAGTACCTTGTATTTACATGGCTGTTTATACTTTTCAAATGTTTCCCTATACATCATCAGGTTTCCATTCAACAGACAGGGCAACTTAAATTTAGAGATCTTGATTAATATAATTAGACATTTGGTTTTAATATGCAAAGGTACTCCAGAGCACCAGATCACTTTTTAAAAATGTGCAAAGATATCAGGAGTGTACTAGGACTTCCACAGGCTAAGAGGACGTGAAAACCATTGCAGGAAAATCTCTTTTGCTTTACTAATTTGTATCAACAGTTCTGTATTTACCAAGGCTCTGTACCTGGTGGTGGACTGAGAGTGGGATTAAAGGGGGTGCCTTGAAAGAGGGGAGACATAAGAGGATGGGAGGAAGGATATTAAGAAACAAAAAAGAATAGAAGGGACAGTTAATCCTGGGAGGGTAGAAACGACATACCTCTTACTTTCCATCATAACTACAGTGCCTGGTATAGAACAGGCATTCAGTTAACATGGTTGAGTAAAGGAATCAATTGTCAGGGTAGTAGAACAATCAGAATAAAACTCCATGCTTGAGCATCCTAGAATAACTTCAAATTCTGTAAGAGGTCATCTTAGTTTCTTAAAGAAAATATTCTCCCTTATTTTCTTCCCTTCTGCAAATGTCTTCTATGACTATGCAATTTATATTCTTTATACATCATCAACAAAACAGGGGACACCTGGATTTTAGCACATTCTCTGATGCCAATTAACTGT